GGAATTTTGGTTTCTCAGTTCATGACCCCTTTAAAAAACTAATCACAAAAATAACTAAAATACAATGTATCACATTTGTACTCGTAAAGAGTATCTTTTTAAAGTCAATTAAAATATTAATATCTTAATATTTTTAACCCTTTTAATAAGAAATAGACTTAAAAAAAAGAGTGTTTTTTACAGAAATAATATACTTTGCAAGAATATACTTATGCTCTTGCAAAGTATAGCCTTTTTTGCAGCTTAGCTCAACCACAATTAAACACTCCTGAGGCGGAGTTTAGCCACACTATTACATCATAGAGTAGAACATTCCAAAAACTGTCGTTTTTGCAGACTGCCTTTAATATAAGCTGTTTTTAGAGTAGCGACAAAGTTTTGAGTTCTGAAATTTACAGGATGTTTTTATAGTACTGTGCAATGACCTCTTATATGTCAAAAGATCAAGGGAATTTTGGTTTCTCAGTTCATGACCCCTTTAAAAAACTAATCACAAAAATAACTAAAATACAATGTATCACATTTGTACTCGTAAAGAGTATCTTTTTAAAGTCAATTAAAATATTAATATCTTAATATTTTTAACCCTTTTAATAAGAAATAGACTTAAAAAAAAGAGTGTTTTTTACAGAAATAATATACTTTGCAAGAATATACTTATGCTCTTGCAAAGTATAGCCTTTTTTGCAGCTTAGCTCAACCACAATTAAACACTCCTCCCTGTAGCTTTCTAGTGATCTTTGATTAGCTAGGTGTTTGATTAGGGTTGGAGCGAAACTCTGCAGGCCAGTGGCCCTCCAGGACCAAAACTGCCCACCCTGGTATGCACACACATTGCAGTTCAGTTATTATTACAGCTAGGCCTATAGCTTCTTGATTCTCGATTTTTAACGATTTTTAACTAGTCAACTTAAAATGTTACCACAACATGATTCAAATAGCTTTTTCTTTATTAACCCTCTAGTTAAAGAAAATTATATTCTAAGTGCAGCACACATGAAGTTGTCAACATGATGCAAATGTTAAACAAATCACTTGTTAAATATCTTTGCATAAAAGATGCATGAACTACAACTGCATCCTGTACAAACTTGTCTTGTAGCCTACATGTTATATGTTCAGAAATAATAGGCTACAATGAAAATGCTTCAAAAAATTCTCAACAGTCAATGTAATTCAAATTCAAAATGACTGCACACTTGTAAATATATCTATTCTGTACATTCATTTAAACAGTTACATTTCTATATATTTCTACTTCTGTATATAGTGCATTATTTAATTTTCTGTTTTTCATATATTAGTATTATACTCCATCTCTACTGTGTAATTCCTATGTCTGCTGCACTAGTTTGCACTATGTCCATACTTTCTTCTGCACTGGAAGCTCCTGTCACTAAGTCAAATTCCTTGTCTGTGTAAACATACTTGGCAATAAAGCTCTTTCTGACTGAGGTATAACACCATAGACTATTAACAATATGTTCTGTGTAAACAACGAACAGCAGCTTTCAGCCTGTCACCGTGATGCAAACATGAACTATTAGACATACAGTAGTAGTTCTTTACAGGTTTTTAATTCGATTGCGCTGCTTTTCCATAGTTTTTTCTATGGACGCGTTTGACTGTTGCAGCATCTCTTGCAGCATCTCACGCATGAAATTACATTATAAAAACGCAGCGCTCAAATTAAAAGAAGTTCACTCACATCTTTTTGCATGTTTTTTTCTATTCCACTATTCCACTATGCATCTTTGTCAACTCAAAAGCGCATTCTGTGTGAACGGCGCCTCGCGATATGAGCGCATCACGTGCGGTTGGATCGTTCTTTTCTCTTTACTGTTATTATGATCGGCATATTATTAAAGTGTCTAATTGTAGCATTTGGTAATATTTATATTCAAAATCGCGATTCCTCGATTTCTAAAAAATAAAATCGATAAAATCAGAAAAATCGACCTATAGCCTATGTGATTTGACATTCTAAGTCATTTGTATAGGATGAATATTAAGCTTAATGGCTGTTAACTTCTAAAAACCCTCAATGCTAAATAATTACTATGTGGTATAAATTAAGCAGATCTAGTAACGTTTTTAATAACATTTAGGCCTATAATATTAACCAGTTACAAGTCTGGATATTGTTCCAGGACACTATAACTGCCATATGGGCGTTGCTAGGCCATTTTTAGGACAAGAAACAGAGGACAAGGTGTGTGTTTAACGATAGATTGTTGTAAATAGCTGCATCTGTGCAGTTTTGTTCTTTGTCATAAATGCGGTTTACAAAATAACAATCGGTTGTAGCCTAAGTTTTCGCTGCGTTCACCCCTCCTCACACCACAGCTGTTTCCTCCAGCGAAAATGAAGCACATATGAACGCATACTGTATAAAACGATCATGTTGCCATTTTCATTTGAAAATTTAACTTTCAATGTAATACATTTTACAGTGCATGTGGCAAAGAGGTTTGCATACTTGAGCTAAGGAAAGAGGGTTGTACTATGTGTGTAGCCTACAGTAAACAGGTGTGTGTGTGTGCGTGTGTGTGTGTGAGAGAGATCATGAAGACTTGTATTTGGCTTATTCAGTTATGTTATACCTATCTATGCAATACAGTGGAATACTTCACTTTTTGGTATATAAATTTAGCATTCCACCCCTATTAGTCAAGCATTATATATTATACCCTCATTGGGGACTGAGCCTCCCTAAAATGAAAATCCTAGAATCGCCCCTGGTAACTGCTCAACTGAATGTCGCTATGCTAAATACAGTCATCCATTTAATTGCAAAAATAGGCTACCTCATGCTCATCTCAACGTTTTTCGATATTGAAAAGTGCTTTTTACAGCATGGGTTTTCAACCTTTTAGGACATTCATCTAATTTCGCTCGACTCGCGTCCTAAGCGAAGTGAAGCGAGCGCGCAGACACTGAAGGTCGCTGCCTGTGCCGTGCTGGTCGAAAGTACAAACAAGTCGCCGTTTTGTTATACAGCCCTTAGCGTAGTTTGCGTCGCCCTCATATGAACGGAACAAACACTTCATTGTCCCAACAGGCGTGTGAGTTGAGGAATGTCAAGTCAGTACAATGCGCTTTTTATATGATAAAGGGTCGGTGACGGAAAAAAAATAACAGAGCTAACATGTGATAGTGCTCTTCATAAGAGTAGCATTTCTGTTTCCAGTGCGTTTAACCGGTTGTTAACGTACAATTGTTGAACCTTTGAACCTCTGTGGCGACGGGCGGAGCAATGAAAATGGAGAAGAAAAAGCGAAACTTAAACCTCCGTCCGGAGGAGCAAAAACAAAAGATTCCTCTCTAGGTTTCTCACCTCAGTTTGGCAGTACCACCACTTTCCATCTGCAGACTACTCGGAAAAACGATGGGCAACAGGTGTGTATTATTTGTAATCTTTAAATAAATACAGTTCTTTTTTTCCTTATATTTATTAGTCACACAAAGTCAAAAATAAAAAGCCATGTCAGAAGCCGTATTTCTCAAACAGAAAAACAAAACAAAATGTAAAAACAATGTTAAAGTCTAAAATACGTTTTAACGTGAATTAAGATCGTTTAACAAGTCTGGCGAAGTTTAAGGAAGTAAACACTGTTTTATTCAGGTTAACTACGCCTATCACATTAGCCTACAAAACATAGCAAGAATGCAGAAAAACTAGTTAACTTAGCTAATTTTTCCATGTTATCTAGCTCTAGTTTTGTGGTGTGACATTTAATGTAAATTGTATTATTGTTGAATAACTTTGGGTTCTGCACTGTGAAAAAGTATAGGCTACAATATTTGTTTTGTCTTATTTATTTAACGAAACACAATAATTTATTTTTCTACTTGGCTTAGCTGTACGAGTTTGATTAAACTGAAAGTGGACTACAGTGAAACCGCAGGTTTTAAATGTCAAAGTATTGGTAGTTAAACACACACACAGGTTTGTTTTTATGGTTTATGGGGACTCTGCATAGGCGTAATGGTTTTTCTACTGTACAAACCATATTTTCTATTGCCCTACCCCTTAAGGAAACTTAAATTTTCAAAAAAACTAATTCTGAATTATTTATAAGCCGTTTGAATTACGGGGACACTGAAAATGTCCTCATAAATCACCTTCTCTTTGTAATACCTATGTCATACCCATGTTATTATACAAATTTGTGTCCTCATAAACCAGATAAACACACACACACACACACACACACACGCACAATGTGGCTTTATTGGCATTGATGGCGGTTTGCCAGTGTTTGATGATCCTTCAACATCCTGGACCAGACGAACGTCTGACCAACAATAAGCATGTTTGTTAACATCTGTTTCAGGCTAATAGAGTGATAACTGGAATTTATGACCAAAGGGTGCATCCTGTTTGACATTCATTGAGCTATACAGGTGTGATTATATACATTTAGAGGATGCACATCCTTCCAATGTTCAGACTAGTGGTCCTTCAGTACAATTTGTTCAATGGCAGATTCTTGAACTTGAAAATGTGGTGATATCCATAGCATGAATCAGGTTGTTTGCCAAATAGGCTATGTCTGCGAGCTTGTAAGTACAAAACCCAACTATGAAACTTACCCCACAACAAACTGTAGTCAAGAACTTAACCTAGATATTATCTTAAAAGGAACTATACAGAGTAACTCTTTTCAGAAAAGTTGTTTTGTATCGCAGGAAGGCAACTTTTTTTTATGGCAGCTGAGGATGATCTACTTAGTTGTTTAAGCTGTTATTCCAGAACTGTTTTAAAATACATTGGAGGAGTCTTGTCCATTGTTGGTCTTGCTCTTGCCCCCGTCACTGCAGGAGTGTCACTGGTTCTGACGCTGACCGGTGTCGGTCTGGGGGTGACCAGTGGTGTCAATAGTATCGTCACAGGCATCACTGAGGCAGTAGTCAACAGTCAGCAAGGGAAAAATGCACAGGACATTTTCCAGAGATACATGGATGATGTGGGCAAGATTCTAGACTGTCTGGAGCAGGCCAGTAGTGAGGAGCGTTTAGAGGGGCTTGATGTTGTAGATATGTTTGGAGCGGGAAAGTTGATAGCTCGTGCAGGAGTAGTGGCCAAAGGTATTGATGGCCTGGTAGATGCAGCTTCAGCTGTCAAAGTTCTCAAAAGTGAGGAGGTGATTGCAACTGCAGCCAAGGTCGGGCTCCAGGAGGCGCAAAGTGCTCGCAGCATTCCCAAACTGGCTGCAGACCTGCCCGACATTGGGCAGCTGGCGAAAGGGACGCCACTAGCGCTCTCAAAGTCTGCTAGAGCTGGATTCATCACTCTAAATGCCCTCTTTATTGGCTTAGATGTCTTGTTTATTTGCAAAGACAGTATAAGTCTAGCCAAAGGGAGCAAGAGTGAGGCCTCTCAGCTCATCCGCTCCAGAGCAGCTCTGTGGAAATCTGAGCAGGAGGCCTGGCAGAAGATCCATGATTCATTATGCATTGGAATATGGAGGTTTAGGAAAAGCCAGGAAGTGTTGGAGCAACTCTTTCTGCCTTAAATTTGTTTTAGAGTAATTTGCTGCTTAAGTACTTTTCAAGAAGAATTGAGATGAACATTAAATATTTGTCTTTAAATTAATGACTCCATCCATTCCTGTTAGATCTCCTTTCCTGGAACACCAATCAATTATCAACACTTATGTCTTTTCAAGCTTTCTGACTTTTTAATAATTCATGTTAGTAAGAATGTAAGCATTACTGAGATCTGCTCAGATTATAGCACATAGTAAATGAGTTAAAAATCATTACTTTTAAAAAACTTGAAAATTATTACATACTGGTCTAAGCTTAAATATCTGTTTATTATATGTACATATGATTTACATTGTCATTTGTATAATCACATTTGTATATAACTGATTAAAAAATGTATTGCATTAATGTTTGTGTCTTATGTGTCAAGGACTTTTATGATCAAGGACACTTATGATT